CAGAAGAAGCTGCGGAAGCAGAAGGTGCCTGGGGCTGGGGGCAGGGGAATGGTTTTGGAGGCCCAAGCCAGAAGGGGCTGGGGGTGGGGTGCAGGGGACTCAGACCTGGGAGCTCAGGCCTCAGATCCTCTGTGACCTTGCTAAATTCCTTCTTGTGCCTCTCTTACTCATCTATAAAATGGGAGTAGTCGTGGTGCAGCCCTAGTGGGGTTGTAGGGGAGATTAAATCAATGCCTTTTGCATACCAAGGACTCAAAAAATGGTAGTCAGTATTTTAATTAGGGCTTTCCAGATAACAGGATCTTTTCCTTCTTCTGGAGCATACCCAAACCAAGGGCTTCGGGGCGCCATGATGAGCTCTGAGGGCATCAGATGGGCTGGGGTGGGGCAGATAACCATGGGGCGGATTCCAGGGGCAGGCTGTGGTCCGGGTGGCAAGAAGGTGGGCACAGAGGGGCCATTTCGGAGCAGCCCCTGGTTGCAAGGCCCAAGACACAGCTTCGAGGGTTAGCCTCAGAATGGGGAGTTCGGGGGCTGGAGAGGCGCGGGCAGGCTCGGCGGAGGGCTTGGGGGTGGGGGGGGGAGCAGCCCCCCTCGCGCGCCCGCAGCCTGGCGCTGACCCCCAGCCGCCTCCAGCTAGCGCTGGAGCAGCGCTGCCGAGAGCTGCGCGCGCGGGGCCGGCGCCTGGAGGAGACGCTGCCGCGGCGCATCGGCTCCGAGGAGCAGCGCGAGGTGCTCAGCCTGCTGTGCCGCGTGCACGAGCTCGAGGTGGAGAACACCGAGATGCAGTCGCACGCGCTGCTCCGGGACGGCGCGCTCCGCCACCGCCGCGAGGCCGTGCGCCGCCTGGAGCAGCACCGCAGCCTCTGCGACCAGATCATCCAAGAACAGCGGCAGATCATCGACGGTAGGCCCCCCGCGGCCGAGCCACCCAGGGGCCCTCCTCGACCCGCGGAGGGTCCCAGGGCACGCGCTGAGCCCTGGCCCTTCCCCCCGCAGACTACAACCTGGCCGTCCCGCAGCACCTGGAGGAGCTGTATGAAGTGTACCTGCGGGAGCTGGAGGAGGGCAGCCTGGAGCAGGCCACCATCATGGACCGGGTGGCCTCTAGGGCCCTGCAGGTGGGAGCGTGGGCAAGCCTGGGCCTGGGCCTGAGGCACCTGTACTGATGGGAGGGGCTGATGCCCTAGGCAGTGCCTGCGGGGAGCTGGGGGGGATGGGACCAGGCTGGCCGGCGCCCCAGGGAGTCAGCTTCCCGTCCTTCTTACCCACCCGAGGAAGGCTCCCGTCCCAGAGCATTCTTCTCTGGCCCTTGTGTATCCCGTGTGAGCCAGAACACAAAGCCACTGCTCTCCCCAAACTCCTAAGCCAGGTTACAGCCCTGGCCACCTTGTGTGCCTGTCACCCTGTGCTGTCCCCTGGTCCAGGACAAGTCTTCTGACTGCCCTCCCCCCCCCCCCCCCTTCCCTCCCCAGGACAGCTCCTTGCCCAAAATTACCCCAGCAGGAACCACGCTGACACCGGAGTCTGAGCCGGAGAGTGTGAAGACGCTGAGCTCCGAAGTGCAGCGTCTGCAGAGCAGTGTCCTCCCTCCCCTCAGCCCAGAGAGGTGAGGCCAGAGACCACCTCCAGCCAGTCCTGCCAGCCTGAGCTGCCACCTGCTTCACCGTGTCCCAGGGATGCCAACCCAGATGAGGGTTGATTGGGGAAGATGGGGAAGGAATGAGAAAGGGAGGAGACGGCACGAGTCTGGAGCCAGGATGCCTGGCTTCTCCCTTCACACAAATAGCTCTTCCCTGGGGTGGGGCTGGGACCTCAGTGGGACCAGCCAGGTCAGTAGCCATCCATCCTCCTCTGCCAACCTCAGTGAAGCCAACCGCGTGTTTAAAGCCAGTCCCCGAGCCTGGCAGGTGAAGAGCTCCTCTGTGCCCACCCCACCCGCCATCCAGATCGGCGGCCTGGTGACCCAGGAGGTGAGCACTGAGCACCGCTTGCCCTGGGTTCCACTGCTGGGGGGCGAGAGCACAGGGTAGACACCCAGGGGTTGGGATGGAGCCTTCCCCAAATGGCCCTCACCCCTGAGGCCCCGCTGTCTCTGCTGAGTAAGACATGGGGTCTTACTCAGCAGAGAGTAAGTGCTGGGTCTAATGCCTTTGTCTTCTCAACCACTTCCCCCCGCAGGCCCCCGCTCAGGACAGCCTGGTCAGCCTGAGCAGCCGGATCAGCTCTTCCCCTGACAGCAGCGAGAATCTGTCAGAGATCCCCTTGTCCTACAAAGGTGTGCCCCTGCCAGCCCTGTCAGCGTGAGCCCGGCATCATCTAAACTGTTCCGGGTCACCCAGTCCATGCCCTCCTGCACTGCTGAGTGCACCCACACCTTTGGTGCTACCCATTCTATAAAGAGACTCCAGTGCCCAGAGAGGATTAACCACCTGCTCAAGGACACACAGAGAGCTGAGGGCACAATCAGAAGTCAGAATGGGGACCACATGACACTTAGGATCCTGTTCCCCCTTCCCACCCAGTAATAATTCTAAGAGCAAATACAGACGGCATCCCTACCCCCTAAGCCCATTTTCTCAATTAATCCTCACAATAACCCTATGGGGTTAGTTTCACCATTCCCAATTTACAGAGGAAGGTAAGGCTCAAAAACTTGCCCCAAGTTTCTTAAATAGCAGGCAAGCGGGAGGGCTGGAATTGGGACCCAGGCCTTCTGGCTCTGCTCATTTCCCTGCCTTGGCAGGAGAGTGGGTGTGGGAGGTAAGGGAGGGGGAGGAATATATGGTCTTGACCCCTACATTGGGTGCTCTACAGAGAAGAAGGAGATCCTGACCGGCACCAAGTGCATCTCGGTGAAGGTTGCTCGGCGGCGCTCGCGGGCTCTGGGCACCGAGGGGCGCCACCTGCTGGCACCTCCCGGGGAGCGCAGCAGCCTGTCTCTGCACTTGCCGACCAAGGCTGACAATTCGCAGCCACTGGGCCCTCTGGCCTGCAAGCGGCCGCCCAGTCCCACGCTGCAGCATGCTGCCAGTGAGGATAACCTGTCTAGCAGCACAGGCGAGGCCCCATCCCAGGCAGTCGGGCACGGGGGCGATGGCACCGGGCCCTGGATGCGCGGCCAGAAGAAAAGCCCAGGCAAGAAACGAGAAGAGTCACTGGAGGCCAAGAAGAGGAAGCGGCGGTCCCGTTCCTTTGAGGTCACGGGGCAAGGGGTGAGGCAGAAGACAGGGGATGGGGTGTCTGCGCTCCTTCATTATGGATGGGGGTCTGGGGGGCTCCTGCACCACCCTCCATGCCTCTGTCCCCCAGGCTGGCATAGGGGGCACACAGGACTGGCATATAGGACAGATCCCTGTAGCAGATCCCATACAGCTCTGACTCACCTCACTGTTCTCCAACCAACACAGCTCTCCCGCCCCAAGACACACCTCCTGGGGCCCCGTCCTATGGAGAGCATCTCGGACCATAGAGTGCCACTGTGTGGACACCCAGCACCTGGTATCCGGCATCTGGGGAAGGTCATGCTGCCTTTGGCCAAGGTCAAACTCCCTCCAAGCCAGAGCACAGGTCAGTACCAGCAAGGGAGGGAATGGGAAGGGGGGGCCCTTGGCCAGCCCAGGGAGGAGGCATGTTGAGCTCCCTTCACCTAGGGCTACCCACTGCTGGAAACCGGGTTCTCACAGAATATTCGTGGGACTGGCATCTTGGGGCTGTGCCCCTAGGGAGTTCAAGGCCACTGGGTGAACAGAGAGGGAGTGGGAGGAATTCCTAAAGCCCTGCTCCCGGCCCTTCCCCTGTTGCAGGCCCTGGGGACTCCCCACCCCTCGCTGTTCTGTCCAACCCAGCTGGTATTTCCCGACGGGCTGCCCGTGGGCCCCGCCTGGCTCACAGCACAAGCACCCATGGCAGAGACATACGCTTCGGGCATACCTGAGGGGCCCTGCCCGGAACAGCCCTCCTGCCCCCAAGACTGGATGGGGTGTAGCAGAAAATGGGAGACGGAGGCTGGGCAGAGGGGGGTCACCCGCGAGCAGGAGTTCAGGATCTCAGAAGGCTGGGGTCCCTGAGACCCAGAAATTATGAGGGTGCCTGCCCAGCACCTCCATGCTTTCAGTGCCACTGGGCAAGGTAGGTGAACTCAGGAGGCATGGCCAGGATGACAGGACTTCCTGGCCTCCCAGCCCTGGATAGAACCCTGTTGCCAAAACCCTATAGAGACCTGTGGCCGGACTCGGCCTTGGAGATGGGAGGGGGAAGGGAGCTGTTCGTAGGACGGGGCCCCTGGGCCTACATCTGGGGCAAAGGCATCCCGGATAGTTGGGGAAGGAGCCAACAGTCACTTCACATCCTATGGTTGGGGCAGAGGAGGGAATCTGGTTTTGTTACTTGGCAGTGTAACAATAAAATCCCATTTGGGTCTTGATGGTTATGTTGGAAACTAGACCTTGTCTGGACTGTGGGGTGGCCAAGACTGATTAAGAGGCAAGCCGACGCCTTCCTCTTCCCTCCCCGACACCCCATCTCCCTCTGGTTACGCTGAAGCAACCTACAAATACCTGGGGGAAAGGGGTTTTTCTCTAGACCGTCCCCAGGAAGGGTGGGCCCGGCAAGGTCTGTTCATGCCCCATCCCACCCGCCTTCACACCTGCCTGGGCTCCCTCCCATGGGAGGTCAGAGACTTGGGGTGGCTCAGACCATAAAAAGCCTAATTACCCGAATGGGGGTGGGAGGGTGATACCCTCTGGAAGTCAGGGCTCAGAAATTGCCCAGCTAAGTAAGCCTCTTGGCCTCAAGGTGGGAAAACTCCAGCAAGGGGTCCTGGGAGTCCCCCCAGTTTTCCCAGGCTGGTCCATTAGGTTGCTCTCACCTGCCCCGTTCCATGTGGGGGTGGGGGACCCTCGGGAAAAGCTAATGAAAGATAAAGGACCCCCACACCTTTGGGACCCTCCTGGGGCTGTTTCTACCTGGGAGCTGGGTGGTTCAATCATCCCCTCAGCTCTCTGAGCATCGGTTTATTCAACCAAGAGCGCGGCCTTCAAGGCAGCGGCGAAATCAGCTCCTGAAACCAGGCACCTGCTCTACCACCCCTCACCTGGCCTCCACCCCAGCTCCAAGGCCGCTGGCACCTGGCCACCCAGGGGGCCAGTGTAGGCACCTCCATTCGCCACCCCCCCCCTCCCAGACCCCGGGGGGCCACCCATGCCAGGCGTCTGTTTCCCACTCCGGAGGCGTCCCCGCCCCGGCCCCGCTTGGCTACTTGGGGGTCCGGATGAGGGTGTGGTAGACGGGCTTGACGATGAGGTGCAGGTGCAGGGCGTTCTCCACCAGGTACTCGGAGTTGCGCCGCTGCAGGTCGGCGTGCGCCAGGAAGTCGCCCGCCTCCTCGCTGCTCTGGTGGAAGCTGTAGGCGTGGCGGACCAGCAGGCGGCCCTGCTGGCGCGCCCCGACCAGCACGGTCTTCTGGAAGCTCACGCCCGCCGCGTCGCCGCCGCTGCTGGCCGGCGTGACCACCAGACGCGGCCG